TGTCTTTGAGTTTCTTTTCTGAGCTGACTTTGGTTCCTTTGGAGGGTGGAGGGTCAACTTTGGTGGTACATGTGGATTTGGGGGTGGGTGGGAGGATGGGTTGTGTGTGTGTGAAAAGTGTTGTGTGTGTGGAGGCTACAACAATGTAAAAATTAAAGCCCCCACTTTACAACAAGCTGTGTTTGGGGCTTGTTGGGTCCAGGTTCCTCTTTTGCTCTGGCCAAGCTAGAATGTTGTAGTAGAGCCCTCTGGGACGAGGCTGGGTTGGCTGGCCAGAGATCCAGATGACCCCATGTCAGCAGCTATTGTCAGCCTATGAGTTCCAGTTGTGGGACGGTCACTGTCACCCTCTCTACCAGCTCCCCTCCCCAAAGGCATGACGGGCCCCAGAAGACCCCTCACCATGTCCACCCATCCATCCGTGTTCCGGGACCGAGCCCCCTCCCTTCGCAATCTGGAGGCAAAGGAGGGCCCTGCCAAGAGAACCATTATCCACATCAGTATGAGAAGGACCACAGCACTCATGGGGCCAGGTTCATTGCAGAGCAAGACCACATTTCACCCTTAAAAACTTGAAAGTGTCAGGAACGAGTTCCTCCCCATTTGACAGATGAAGCTGATACTTGGAGAGATGACTTGCCTAGAGTTCCCAGCAATTGCGGGTGGGGTCAAGGAGTCCACCTAGATCTGTTTTGCCTGAAGTTCCTATTCTTAGCACTAATGGACATGAGGCAGAATAACAGTGCAGTTAAGTCAGGCCACATCCAGCTCCTTCACCTTCTACTGATGTGACTTTGGGTAAGTGACTCAGTTTCTCTGAACCTCCATTCCCGCCTTTGTAAACAGGGAGCGCCGATTACGCAGGGTTGTTTGGAGAGTCCATGTGTTAATTCCTGTGAGGCACTTAGAATAGGGGCCAGCACGCGGTGTCCAGTGGTGGTGCTGTCATTGTTACACCAAAGCAAGAGGAGTTGTGAGTGAGGGTGGGGGGAGGGGAGAGGAGCGGGCCACACCAGCCCTGGGAACGTGTGAGGGAGGTGGACCTAGAGACTGGCAGGAGGAGGAATTGGAAGAGTGAGCATTTACGCCAACCCCAGGCAGAACAGGAAGGCCAAAAACAGAAAGGGGGAACTTTCTGGGGCCCTGACTTCACACAGGCTCCCAGTGAGAACATGGGCGTTTAGGGGGTGGGGGCAAAGAACCAGGTTGGAAAAGACGAGACCAGAACAAACCCACACCTCTTATCCAGTTGCCCGAACTGTCAGAACGCGCTGCTGACAGAACGCTCATCCTCAGAAGCACTTGGGATGAAATAAACAGATGGGGGGAGGCATAACTGAGGCGGCAGAGCCCCTGGCACGTGGCCAGCGCAGAAGACTAGATTATTGAGGAGGCAGGGCACACTGGAGGAAGAAATGCCTCCAGTCCACCATCAGATGGAAGTGCTGTGGGCACTTGCTAGAAAATAGTCTTGGTTTGGAATTTTTTCAGGATCTAAAACTAACCAGTTGCAGCTCTGTTCCAAGTAGCAGGCCACTAGCTGCCCTCAAGAACATGGAAATTTTCGTTTCACCATGAATATGGAATGCAGCATCTTGAGCTAAATGATCCCCAAGAAGCAGCTTCATCTTGCACTGCGGGCTCAGTTTGAAGCAAAGACCTCTCAGTGCCAACTTAATCCAGGCCAGCCAGCCGGGAGGTAAATGCATTAACAGATGTAGGTACGGGCACACCTCACTCAGTCCCAATTTACTCGCTGCTGTGTGATGAGAACTCTTGGAATTCTTGTTTGGCAAAGCAGAATGAGTAAGGATAGAAGAAAACAGGAGAGAAGGGGCCATCAAAACGAACAAGAATCATTTATAATGAAGGGGCAATTTCTGGGATGACAACAATTACCAGAAAACTGAAGCAGAGGCCTGTTAGAGCATCCAAGTCGGGCCAGAGAGCGTGCCGGCCGGCGGGTGGCACTTGGGGTCGGGCTGGCAGACTTGGAGTCAAAACTGGCTCTGCCCATTGCT